CAATAATTGAACATGATGAAAGATTTTGAAACCGAGTGCATGAAATCCCTTAACTGCCGTATGGTTACCATGGTAATTTTCTTCTGTGCTTCATCACAAAGATTAATTCAGCTTTTCGAAATGTCCTTTAAGAATGTATTTGTATGCCATTTACAGGCTTTGAAAGGAATTCTCCGACATAAGTTGATTTATCAACGGGGTCTCAAAGGCTACGTTTACACTGCAGGCAAATGTGGCCCAAATAAGATTTTTTTTTTTTCTTTAAACGTGACTCAATTTTTTTTTTTGTCATGACAGTATGAACAGCCCAAACCACATTGGAATCTGATTTGTGCCACTTTCATATGTGGTGTTAAATCAGATACAGATCTGGGGTCTCATGCATCAACACTGCTTACACACAAAAGCGGTGAAATTAACATGAGAATGTGCATTGGTCCGCACCAACTTCATGTCTGGCGTATGTGTATTTCTTGTGCGTGTTTGCTTTATTTCCATTGGCAACTCCTAGAGGCAATTATGTTAAATTGCACACTACAAGGTATCGCACCAAAACCAAACATTGCTATTCATTAATAATTGATAAACTGGGTTAATTGACAATATTTTCTTTTTTACCAATTATGTGATTAAAACATATAAAAGCATTTGCAAATGTAAACAACCCTTAGTCTATGGCAATGGCAGTGTTGGCCTTATTAGAGGACATTGACTATGGTCGAATCCTAAGAGAACGCAGTTTTTAGGGATTACAGTGATTTTCTGGCCCACGATGATGACTGGCTTATTAGCCGTTTCATATTTCCAGGAGCTATCCTCTTGGAGCTCTATGTCGAGTTGGGTCCAAATTTGGAAAGGGAGACAGCGAGGAAGCTCCAAGGTGGCATGGTGTGAGATGAGTGGCTTCTTGGTGAGTGATGTATTTAAATATATTATTCCAGCTAAGTTTCATTTTTATTTTATTGAACATAATTATTCAACTGCATATCAGGAGACCGCGGTTATCCATTACAGACGTTACTGTTAACCCCCCTCAACAACCCACAAACTGACCAAGAGCGCAAATACAATGATGCCCATTCTCGCACCAGGTCAGTTGAGCGGGCGATTGGGCAGCTGAAATGTCAGTGGCGCTACCTTGATAACAGTGGAGGGGTGCAGCTATACCCCCCTAACAAAGTGATCTTCTAATACATGCGTGTCTCCCATAGACACGGATACTACTCCAGACAGTAAAGTGTCGCCCACAACTGAAGCAACTCTCTCCTCAATGAGTGTTAGTTCAGCCTCCCGTTCTCCTGCCTGTTCGGGCCACAATTTGGTGGTGCGCCGCTGTTCTTTTACATTGGACCATTTCCTTTTTAATTCTTTCACAATGCATTGTTCAGACCCCACTGAGTTAACCATGTCAGCTAAACTCTCCCACTCTATTTTTTTTCTTTTGTCATTAATTCGATGACAAATTTGCAAACAGTTTTGCCAAAGTGGAGTCATTACCATATTTATACAGGGGAGGAAGCAGGGAGGGGTTTTGCGCTCAATTTCACGTCAATTCAGATGTACAAAGAGAATATGCATGGGATTCCGCATATGAAGGGTTTCATACATCTGATTTATTTTACTGCATTTACATTTACAGCTTTGCCCATACGCAATGTTTTAGTATTAATTCAACGCAAGTCTTTGTACATGAAGCCCCTGATGTTTCACAATCTGACCGCAGTGTGAACAGTTATGTAGGAAATTGTTACTTTTACATAATTTTTTTATCAACATGCATGTTTTATCCTTTACTGGTTTATGCTTCAAACATCCTCTACTCTACTAGTCATGTCAAAGCAGTAACTAAATCAGCATACTACCATCTCAAAAACATTGCAAGAATTAAATGCTTTGTTTCCAGTGAAGACTTAGAGAAACTTGTTTATGCTTTTACAGCAGCAGGGTGGATTGCTGAAATGGACTCTTCACCGGCATTCCCAAAAAGACAGTCAGACAGTTGCAGCTCATCTAGAGGGCTGCTGCCAGGATTCTGACCAGAAGCACAAAATCAGAGCACATCACACACCTGTCCTCAGGTCTTTACACTGGCTCCCAGTTACATTCAGAATAGATTTTAAAGTATTATTACTTTTTTATAAATTACTTAATGGTCTAGGACCTCAATTACAGATATCCTCACTGAATACAAACCAAACAGATCACTCAGATCTTTAGGATCATATAAACTAGAAATTCCAAGGGTTCAGTCAAAGCAGGGTGAATCGGTCTTCAGCTACTACACCCCATGCTGCTAAAATCAGCTTCCAGAAATGATCAGATGTGCTCCAACATTAGGTACATTTAAATCCAGACTAAAAACACACCCGTTTAGCTGTGCCATTACTGAATGAGCACTTTGCTACGTCCGACAGATCGCACTATTGTGTTTTTCTTTTCTTTTTCATTATCTTATAGCCAGTTAACACATTCTAACCTGTTTTTAATTTTATTATTTGTTTTTTTTTATACTCGTCTCTTTTATTCCTGTTTATATAAAGCACTTTGAATTGTCATTGTGTATGAAATGTGCTATATAAACAAACTTGCTTTGCCTTACTCCTCAGTGGCATAGCGAATGGCACACAGGGCAAATACTTTACCAAAAATGAAGGTTGTTTATTTCTACTATTTTTTTAATGACAACTAGCGCTTGTAAAGCAAACATTAACCATTAGCCTATAATCCCCACAAAAAAGGATTGCTCAATTAGATTTAAAATCCCACCATACTAAAATACCACATTTAAAAATACCAAAATCCATAGACCTACATGAAAAAGCTATATTTCACTTAAATAATTAATACATTAGCTAAATGTAAACTAAAAGAATTAAAGAATAAATGTGTTACATATGTTGCAACAAGTTAACCCTTATATATAGCAAACAACCATTTACAGTTCATAAAAAAATACAAGGGTTGTCTGTGAAAATGGCAATAATCAAATTAAACAATTTGACAACATGCTTTTTTTCACTTCACGCACATTTTTGTGCGTGCATAGTACTTTCGCGCATGTGGTTCAGTTCAGTACAATGATGTGTTCACTCTGAAAATCTGGTATTGGCCACATTTATAACAACAGTGAACAGCCATGCAAAAAAAAAAAAACACACACACATATATACAGCTGTGAGTGTTGGGCATTTATAAAATAAAAATATATTACTTACCTAATATCGCTAACCTTGTCTTCTTCTACCCACACAACAACGAACTTTACTCCAATTATTAATTGAAAATGCATAATATAAATAAATATACATTTGATCCCCCCTAAAATGATGTATACCATTCTCAATGCAAATCGCGCCAATCAATGCTGAAAAAACATCATTCAACAGTCTGAAACTGGCAGTTCTAGAGCACTGACAGAGATCTTAAGTATTCACAAATCATGTTTCTTGCAAAATAAGTGTTTACTCTATATCTGCATGTAGCTTTAAAAAAAAGAAAAATTAGACACAATTTGTATTAACTACAGCAACCTCTTAAATTGTCACTAAATATGCCTTAAAACACTGAAACATACACATTTTATTAATACACAAGACGTAATTTCAATACATTCACAAATTTGATTCACTGAGGCATGTATTACCAAACGACTCCTACCAAACAAAAAAAGTTGACCCCCCTCCCAATCGGCTATGTATAATTCACACACTGTGCAAATGTATATGCAAATTCTGGGTTAGAATCAGAACTGGCAAGAGAACATGGTTGATTTTTACATTTTCCCTTATCATCTAACCAAACCAAATGATTTCAAGTAATAGTTTAACCAAAACATGTTCAAATTAGTTTACACCTGTAGTTTGCTTCATCAATTTGTGATAGAACAGACATCTTATGGAAACGGCAACAGACAGATCTGTATCTAAAACCTGACAACACATCCTCATTTAAATGCACAACCCTCCAGTGGTCATGTAAGAGAGTTTAACCTAAATCATTACCATTTAACCCACTGCATCCCAATGTTAACATCTGGCACCAATATATACCAGTCTTTGAAATGATATTTAAAAAATACACAGATCTGTCGACTAGAAATAAAAGTTAAAACATAATATTAGCACATGGTTAAATTTTAAGAGCTGTTTAATTACATTTGTTCCTCTGAAAGACTCAAGACACAAACACAATTAGTATTTTGCCATCTATGAAGTAAAACGTGCTAATTTAGCAGGAAAAGGGAAAGAAATTAAACTGGTAAATGTGGTAGACCGTTATTTAAAGGCTGTAAATTAATTCAAACACCAAGAGCGATCATAAATCAGACATAGTAGGTCTGATAAGACGTTTGCATAAATGTTACTGGTTGAACGCCATTCCTCGTCAGTCTAGTGTTTTCTAGACTCCTCTGCAATTACAGTTGAAAGCAACATTGCGGTAGCCCATAAATAATAACTGACGCGAAATGCCGGGGCCACAGGTGGGTAAATATACCACCAGAATGACCCACAGCAGTTTTCAAGCTAATTCACAGAATCAGCTCTGATAAATGCTGCTATTAAACTCTAGTTCCAGATATCATAACCAGAAACCATTTAATTTCGGCGAGGGGTGTGAGAGTAACAAGTTGACAAGCAAACAGGATCCGCAGCAGACCGAGCGCATTCTCGGTAACGTTACCGTGGCAGACGTCCAAACTCCTCACTCTCTCACACATACACACTCACACCGAGACTCTTGGCCGCCATGCACGAGACAGAGACAGTTAAGTTTACTCGCGCGACGACTTCACACATTTGAGCACAGTCTGAAACAACTGACTGGAATTTAATGGAAAGCCGAATCTGTTTCCATGCGGTGGTCGAAAAGAAACTGACACTCAGAATGTGAGAGTCGACAGAGCATTTACGAACAACGACTTTAGTCAAAAGTAACGTCTGACAGCTTGCTAAACATATATAAACTATTCCCACATGCCATTATCGGTGTTTTCTACTCACCTAGAAGTCTGACAGACCGTGAAAACGTCTTCAAATGCGTCGTCTGATCTTCTTTGTAAATCCGAGTTGTTCACTTTGGCAGGTTGTTTTTATATTAGTAGGTAAATATAGTCTGGCACTGCTCTATGACTTTGTGCTTAAAGTCACAAAAGCACCAATAAATAAACTAATTCAAGAACGCGACAGGCAGAAAGTTTGCAAAAGGAGTTGTACGTCCAGCACGCAAGAAGGTTTGCAAAGAAGGAATGTTCTGTTAGATCCGACTCTTTTGTGAGGACAAATGACACGGACGTCCTTATTTATTTCTCAATCAGTGCTGCTCTCTCCGCGCGCTCATAAGCGCTTAGCTTTTAGACCTCTTTCTCTTCCCCTCAGGGCTTGCAAACACGACCAGGTGCTCATTTACATAACTGCACTAGCTGCGTCCAATGGCCGCCCTCAATCAGGTGCTTCTTTGAATATTTCATGAGGCAATTGACCAATCCTGAGCGAGTTAAGCAAGCAACCCGTGACCTGGCAGCGCCGCTGTAAATGATACCTCAGAGAGTTTAAGAAAAAAAAGTGTTACAGCATTGGAGAGATTTGGGGAATAAGAGAAATTTAATATCATTGGAAAGGAAACAACGGGATTTACCTTGTTAACCCTTTCCGTTACTCTTATAACCAAACATTATGTTGACTTCTCTTCAACACGTAGAAAGTACCACTTTGTAGTGTTAAAAGATTGCCTTATTACAGAGTAAACCCCTGCAATATAGCATTATGTCCTGAGGCAAGACAGAAAAAACTGGTGTTAACAGACTTGAGGTCAGATAAGAAGAGAAACGCTGTGAGCTGAAAAAGTTCCAACACGATGCTAGATTTTGCACATGCACAAATACACAGAAATGAAACGGGTGTGGTGCTTTAATGTCAGTGAAAAGCGATATTAAAGGTAAATAGGACAGGTAGAGGAGGGAGGGTGAGTGAAAGAAAGCTTTTCCACAGCTATGTGTTGCTACTTGCCCATTCATTGGAAGGAGATGAGAATTGGAAACTTGTTGGCAGTCATTCAGCAACACTGAGGTAAATAGTGGACCGAGAGAAACAGCAGTCTACCTAGAGAGTCAATATTGTTTCTCAAAGCCTATTGACCGCAGGCATCGTGTATGAGCTTGAGCATGTGTGAAGTTATTGCTTTTTATGGCACTAAAAGAATTTGAAGAGAGAAGTGAAGCACATTTGAAAAAAAAAAACATGAGGGAGATATCTGGTAACATCAAGGTTGAAGCTGTAACAAAGGTGTGTTGATGAAGAGAATGTGTCTAAACCAAGAGAAAACAGAACAATTGAAAGAGTTCCAGTTCAAAGTTTATGTTGAAAGCAGGTTGTTCTTCTGTTTTCTTGGCTTCGAATGAACAATCGTGCATGTCCTGGTTTGACTTGGAGTATGATTAACCATGGCTCGCACACAGTTTTAATGGTTAAAGACCATAATCTCCTCATGGGTGCTTTCTTTCCTTCACCCTTCATTAGTCAGAAGTGAATGAAATTCTGTATTTTCTAAATGCTTACAGAGTTTAATGTGAAATATCAGTTCATAGGTTTAATAAAAATGTTTTGACCAATCATAGTCAGATGTCATAAAAGGGATTTGTCTATTAGTCTGCTTTATTGCAACTTAAAGGGTCACCTGACACCAAAACACATTTTTTGAGACGTTGACAGTCCCACGTTGCTAAAAACACTATTAGACACATGTAGCTAGCAAGTGAAAATTGCTTGTTTTTGCGTTGTTTAGAGCAAATTCATTCTTCCAGTTTAAAAATATATTTTGAAGCAATTTCACAAATATATTGTGACCGATACAAAGTGACGTCATTGAGTTTTCAGCACATCTGTTATTAATTCTTGAGAAAGACTTGGTTCGATTCAATCTCTATTGTGTATGAGGTGCAACTTCATTAATATGCACGATATAGCTTTCAAGACTGTTTTTACTTGTTACAATGTTCAGAGAGACGCCATGTTGTGTTGCCAAGCGTAATTTAAACAAGTAGAAGAGGAATTGTTTGGAGGCATGGGTCATCAGTGTTGCGTTTATAAATGTGCTGCAACGAAGGTTTTGTTTCCATTTCCTCATATGGACCCAAGCAGTTGTATTACAGTGGTCTGCTAACATGTGACAGAAATATGCTCGTAAGGAGCTATTTTTTTTTTTACCCGAGAGCTTTATATTGAATCTGGAAATGGTGAAATCCGGATTTGCCACTCGTCTTCTTTTTAAAAAAAAAAAACGTGGTTCCAGTTGATTGTCCTGTCTCTACAGATTTGGTAAGTGTGTGATCAGTGTTTGTTGTTCATGTTTATTTAGATGGCTTACTTAGTATCGTCAGCAAGACTCTTTCAGTTTTTAAAGACATACCTTAGTCAAAATTATTTATTTACTAAGTTTACAGTAACATCACTATCATATTATAGATTCGCTGTAAATACTGCTCTCATAATCACCCCTGTGTTTGTTTGTTTTGAGCCTTTGAAAATCAGCTGTAGTGCACGTAATGAAACTTCCCTTTTCATGCAAACCCTGCCTTCTTTCACCACTCAACACTCCCACCTAAACAAAGCTGGACTCACCCACTTTCCTGACGTTTTTCAAACTAGTGGTATGGAAACGCCCTGCTGGGCCCAGGGGGTTTTATGGCCCTGTAAAGTTTAATACTTTATTTTCTAATGGTCTGGTTTATCTTAATGATTCGTAATGATCTCATAAATAGTTCTTAAGTGCATTTCTTATTTAATATGAGTTTTTGACATATTAATTTAAATACCATAAATCTTCCCATAAAACAGATACATTTCTGGTGACAAATGCAAAATTCTGGATCCACAACCCCTTAACTGCAATTTCCGTTTCAGATCTGGCTTGCTTGGTTTGGGACTTGTGGAGCTGCGTATCAATGGATTTGCTATTCAGTTTTTGGACTTTCAGCAGTGAAAATTAAACCACACTGAACTTTAATTCTGAAAACTGAACTGACAGTTTCAATTGACTAGAACAGGGGTGCTCAACCCTGTTCCTGGAGATCTACCTTCCTACAAAGTTCAGCTCCAACCCTGAGCAAACGCACCTGAACCAATTAATTAGGACCTGAACAGCACTTGATAATTACAAACAGGTGTGTTTGATAAGGGTTGCAACTGAAATCTGCAGGAAGGTAGATCTCCAGGAACAGGGTTGAGCACCCCTGGACTAGAACTTCTATGTTTAGCGGCTTTGACACAATCTACATTGTAAAAGCACTAAAGAAATAAAGATGAATAAAAAAAAAAAAGCCAGATAAAAAAATGGTCACAGCTCAAAATACCCCAAACTAGTGACTAGTTTGACATAATTTTTGAAATCTATAAGATGGAGAGATGTCGTTTACAGACTGTTTAATGAAACATGGGGACAATGGATAAATATATTCTCCCAATAAGACCAGACTTAATATAGAATGTATAGTCAGAAATATGTGAACTTTATTTTATTTTTTTGTATTATTTTTTGTAATGAGAGAAATACAGTGCTCAGCAGATGAGTACACCCCATTTTAAAAATGAATATGTTTATCCATTTCTCAGTGAATATAGACAATGTATTTTGGGGCATTTCAACAAAACAGATTTATTAAACAGATATATTTATTAAAATAATATGCTAGTCACCAATCATACAATAATAAACAATAATACAATTAAATTCAAGCAAAATATTGCAAAAATAAATTACAACCTACAAAAATTCAAATAACTTTTCATTTTTTTGCTTCTCTTGATTTTTCCTCTTTTTATTTGTATTAAATGTTTTTCTATAATATACATTTGGGTATACTAGTTTTTGGACGGTTATCATAAGTTATATGTTTAAGATTTTATTCAGATTTGGCTTCAGTAAAGACTAATCTAATCTATGTGCACAAATATAACATTGTATAGCTTTATATTAAAAATATGAATTTAAAAGAGAGATTTGTGATGGATGTACTCATATATGCTCAGCACTGTACCTATTTAATAAATAAATAAATACAAATTAACATTTAAAACACAATATGGGTTAAAAAAAAGTACACAATTGAATTGTAATTGAAAAACATCAAATCAGTTTTATCTGTTTGCTTTGTGACTATAAACAAAACAATTATGAGTGTAATGTTTTAATTGCTCTTATAATGTCCTTGAATTATTAATGTAATTTCTGTATTTAATCATTTATAGAATGTTTTGTTTTTATCATTTCTACAACTTCTGGATCCCAATGTTTGGTTGTTTTTGTGTACCCAATGTGGAAAACCCCATCTGTATGTAAATTTGGAAACTACAATAAATAAATAAAAATAATAAAATTACTTTTCTTTCTTTCTTTCTTTCTTTCTTTCTTTAAAAACCAGAGGGAAACTTCTCTTTTGAAATCAGCAGATTTAGCCTACTGAAACTATATGTTATCGTGAGCTGCTTATGTGAAAAGATTACAGAGCTGTGGATCAGATTACATAATAACAATGCAGTCTTTGTTATTGTAAGGATTAATAAAATGTTACTGGAGAGTAGCACTGTTAGAAATACTGTGTTCATGTTAGGCCCTGTAATCAGCAGCCTGTACACCACAGTATCACAAATCAAACATTATTTCCATTTCATCACAACTTGAAATTCTAATTGATTCAGGCTGCACTTCTGTGGTTTATAAAGGGGGCAGACATTAACTCATATTTCAATACGCAACTAATCTTTCATGTTTTATGAAGAAAATCAATACTGTGAAGGGTATTTCACCACAGTCTAATAAAGATGAGGCGGTACATCCTTGAGTAGAGCTCAGTTTACCAGGCTGCCACATGAAAAAGCAGGAACTATAACTTTTTGACTGTGCTAGAAAACTAAATCCTTACTCTTCAGCCTTACACTAAAAATGAACATTTACTAATCATTTCTCAATCTCAAGCTCCTTTATGAGTATTTATTCTCATAAATTATTATGAGTATGAAGAATGGTGGAAGCTGGCAGCCATTGCCAGCCATAGTAGAAAAATAAAAATACTATAGTAGTCAATGACAGTTTTCAACATTCTTCAAAATATCTTCTTTTGTGCTTGTGGGATAGTAACTTTCATTTTATAGGTGAATTTATACTTTAAATTGTGATATAACTTGATCACTTTGTTTGCTCTTTTTCTCTCTCTATTTTTCACACTCTTGCTTTTACTTCTCGCCCGCTGGCCAAGCTTTGTCTGTTGCTCTGGAAACCTGCTTCCCGCCTGTAATGTTGCAATGACCTTTGCACATTGTTGCATTTGTTTCCAGTACTTGCACTGGCTTTGTCTCACCCTCTTTCTCTTTTATTCGTTTCTCTT